GTTGGGGGCACAGGTCTCTGCTACTGTTATTTTGTGTTTCAAAAGTTTGGGAACCACTGCACTTTAGTTCCCAAAGTTGTGCTTGGGACCCAATTATGGGCCATAAAGCACCTTGGATAATCTCCAGAAATCAATTTAAAGGGTAATAAAATAATTGCTGATGTAATATTTTCCCTATAAGTATTACAAAAACACAAAATAACTATTAATAAGTATTTATATGTGTGTACAATCTGTTTAGATTGTCAAAAACCTGTGTTTTTAGGGTTATTAACAGAGTTTGTGTACTCAGACCAGTAGTATTTGGGGTCACAAGTTTTTGCCATGAATATTTTGTGGGTCAGAAGACAAAAAGTTYGGGAACCTCTGATCTAGCACATGGACCTCCAGAGCGTCTGCGACACTACATCCCACATTGACCTTGACACGGGCCGTGAATGACCAGTGGGAGGATTCAATAGAACAAAACCACAAAGCTTCACTTTCAAACTCTGCAGACGTGTGTTTGTGTGTGTGAGAGAGAAATTCTGAAACATTTGATGTTTTCTGACAAGGTGCTCCACATTGTACAATAAAATCAGTGCGTCTACCTCCAGACAGACTTTGATGGGACTAGAAAATGTGTTATCGACCCATCTGCTGAACCTGACTCTATGCATGTCTGTCGGACTGTCAGCCACCTTGCAGAGCTGAAGCCTGCATGGATTGTTTTATGATGACATATCCACTGTGCCTAGAGGGCCACCTGACATTCCTCACCCTGAACCCCCTCCACACACACACACACACACGCACACACGCACACACGCAGTAAGACTCCCCACCACCACGCACCATCAACACCCCCTCCACCAATCTCTCTGTGTTATCACTCACTGCAGGCAACTTACAGCACACACCTTTTCACCCTGCAGTTTTCTCCATCTGGCCATTTTTTAAATCCTCTTCACACTTTATATAAAAAAATTAAAAAAACATAACTTAAATTATTTTAAACATTTGTGTTTAAAGAAAGTTTAGTAGCTATGCATCACTTTAAATTGATTTTTGTCAATGTGACACAATCAAAATCACAAAAAATATGCATATATTGCTTTCTGAAAGAATACTTTAATAATATAAATACTTTTTTATTCAACTTATCAAACTCTTCAGAGTCACAACACTCAGAATGTTTTAAATGAAAACAAAAGTGAGATGATTTTTCTGAAGATAAACAGATTTGATTTATCAGAAACCCAATCCAAACACCAGATCCGTAACTGACCCGGGAAACACGTGGTGACTTACCACCAGAGTCCGATGATGTTGACCGGACAGAGCAGGATAAAGAAGATGGCCARTTGGATCCGTGAGAGACGAACCGTCATGTTTGATAATCCCCAAGAAGTTTTCCCCAGCAGAGTTTAATGTGACGAGCTCAGCCAACACCGACAGCGATCTGTTCCTAAATACATAGGAGGTCTTTGTTTTTGTTTGTTTGTTTTTCAGTCAAATCTCGCCGCAGAAAGTCTGTCAACCAGCGCGCAAAGGTCCAACTCCTCTCCTGTTGGGCGCATCTTAACGCGCAGCAAAGCTGGTCAAGTGGCTCGTGAAGAGATGTCCGCTTTCAAAGGTGTGGTTAACCTCGTCATTATCGTTGTGCTCTGTCTTTCTTAGCGCGACTGCAAGGTTTGGAAACGGGGCCGAGGAGGAGAAGAGTCCAGGCAGCAGCGGCGGAGGCTGATCCGGCTGCGCGCAAAACCAGCTGAGTGGGAGAAGAGCGCAGAGCGTCGCCGCTTTTTTTGGAGGAGTTTACGCACGATTTATTTATTTGTTAGTGAGAGAAAACCGAAGAAAAACTGTTACAGGGTGGGGGGAAAAAAGTCTGAGTTGTTGTCCGCTGTGAACAGCTGAATGGGGAGATGAGTCGAGGTGCCCACTGGCTGCAGGTAGAGGCGTCTCTCCTGCGCGCTCTGACAGCGTGTTTTCCTTGGACGGGTTCTTCTCCCACCTTGTGTGACGTCGCTCCGGGCGAGGTGAAMTCTTCGCTGTCGATCATGGAAGGAGGGAGAGAAAGAAACTGCAATTAGTTTTAGGGGAGGCGGGCTGGGAACCGGGTGTAAACACAGCAGGCGCACAGAGAGAATTATGAAAACTAAATTGTGGAAAATACCTTTTTTTGTCACTTCAATAGAAAACGAAACCAATTATTATTAGTTTATTTAGTTTATTTATTTCTTCATCATCGGTGACTTTTTTAAGTGAAGAGAAAATAGAGAAAGAGATAAAAACAGAGAGAGAAGTGATTAGAAAGATAGAAAGATTAAAATAGATTAGGATTATATTAAATATACACCAACAAAACACAGGACCACACACCCAACATCTGTCCGCTCACCTGAAAAATAAATGGATAARTACATGGAGGGCATATATAAATATATACACATACCCATACATATATAAAGATATACTTACATACATGTTTTTTAACACAAAAGAAGCAGGGGCGCCACTAAAGAAGAGCTGTGAAGGGGGCGATGACTGCCCCTATTGCCYCCACTGTTCACCCAACCTCAAGGTAATGTCACTGTCAGACTCCTTGGCAATTTAACCTCCTAAACAATTCAATTCAATTTAAAAAACTTTATTGATCCCAGAGGGAAATTAGGTAAACCCCACACATCCTGAACTGGAGGCACAATTAATTCATTTTATTTATTTTTAAATAGTTTCTATGATTATTTACTGTAAGTTTTACTCAAAATGTTTTACAAGGTTTTGATGCAGTTATTTACGTGTCATTTTGAGCACAAACTTAAAGAAAACCCCTCGGGGCTTAAGAGGTTAACGTTGTGAGAAAACATGCAAACTTTCCATTTGAGAGTCACAGAATTGTGAGTGTTTTGTGARCGGTGAGGCCTGTGGCAACATTTTGTTTGTGTGCATGTATTTGTAGCTGCGCACCTGCAATCTGTAAAAAAAATAATGTTAAAACTGAAATTTTGACATGGCTTTGCAGGATTGCACTTTAGGGATGTATTTTTTTTCCTTGAAATCATGTAATTATGTCTGTGTGCTTGAATGCTTTTTGAAGTGGGTGGTGTGTGTGTGTGTGTGTGTGTGTGTGTGTGTGTGTGTGTGTGTGTGTGT